AAAAACGTCTCTATATTGTTATAAAATGGAAATACAGAGGCTTACGGTATTTTTGTTTCTTCCAGGACTAAATTACTCCGTAGAGTATCTATTACAATAGCTAGTAAGTGACACTAAGTCCAGCAGCCACCGCGTCTATCCAAAAATGTGGCGGTAGCCATATTATATCAAATTTAAACAATATATGTACAGTTCAAAGGCAAACACAAAAACTTCAATATAAGTACAAAATATGGAAAGAATAACAACATACAATGGTAAAATCTCAAATTGGAATCAAATAAAATACCAAAAATGTCAAGAGAAAAAGTCCATCATGTCATAGCAAAAATATGTAAACATGGAGGGATTTTCCAAAACACAAAACATTCAAAAAGAATTCTACAACCTTGCCTCACACCGGTCTTCACCTCGAAAGAGTCGGTTAGCTGTCCTCCGTGCACGATTTTGCAGTTGAATCCATCATAAGAGTTCCGTATGATGTTAACTATTTTCTCAGGCACACCGTAGTGTCGAAGAAGAGTCCACAGTGTTTTCCTATCCACGCTATCGAATGCTTTCTCGTAGTCGATGAAGTTGATGTAGAGTGGTGAGTTCCATTCAATTGATTGTTCCACAATGATCCGTAATGTAGCAATTTGGTCAGTACACGATCGATCCTTACGAAATCCGGCCTGTTGATCTCGAATATGGGCGTCTACGAAGTCCTTCATTCTGTTTAACAATACCCTGTTGAAGACTTTGCCTGGTATTGAAAGAAGAGTGATTCCTCTGTAGTTCTCACACTTGCTGAGATCGCCTTTCTTTGGTATTTTGATCAGGTATCCTTCTTTCCAATCTGATGGTACTTGTTCCTCATCCCAAATCTTCTTGAAGAGGATGTGAAATATTTTTGCGGTTGCTTCTACATCTGCTTTCATTGCCTCTGCTGAAATGTTGTCTGGTCCTGCTGCTTTGCCGTTCTTGATTTGTCTGATGGCCATACTGATCTCCTCAATCGTAGGTGCGCCAATATTAATTTGGAGATCCGTGGATGCTGCTTCGATGTTGGGTGTGTTCAGTGGAGCTGGTCGATTCAATAGTTCCTTAAAGTGCTCTACCCACCTATTTCGCTGTTGTTCAGTGTTGCTGATTACTTTGCTTTCCTTGCTTTTCAGTGGTCGTTCTGGTTTACGATAGTTTCCGGCGAGCTTCTTTGTAGTTTCGTACAATTGTCTCAAGTTTCCTTCTCTTGCAGCCTTTTCCGCCGTCGTTGCTAGATCTTCCACGTATTTTCGTTTGTCAGCTCTGATGCTCTTCTTCACTTCCCTGTTTGCTTCTGTGTATGCAGCTTGTGCGGTAATTTTCTCCGCTCTTGTTCGGCTGACATTGATTGCTGCTTTCTTGTTCCTCCTTTCTTCAATTTTTGCGAGAGTATCAACAGAGATCCATTCCTTGTGATGCTGCTTCTTGCGACCAAGGACCTCCTGACATGTTGAAGTGATTGCCTCCTTAATCCCTTTCCAATTGTTCTCCAATGTTGTGTCCTCTCCATTGAGTATATTCTGAAAGGCCTGGAACCTATTGGTGAGGGCTATCCTGAATTCGTTGAGCTTTACAGTATCCCGAAGAAAGGCCGTATTAAACTTGTGTGATGTTGTCTGTCCCGTTGTCCAGTGCTTCTTTAGTTTCAGTTTCATTTTGGCGATTAGCAAATGGTGATCTGAGGCTACATCAGCTCCTCTCCTGGTTCTCACATCCTCCATAGTCCTTCTGAACGTTTTGTTGATACAGATATGATCAATCTGGTTTTGAGTAGTGTGATCCGGTGAAATCCATGTAGCTTTGTGTATGCGTTTATGCGGGAATATTGTGCCACCGATGACCAGTTTGTTGAAGGCACATAGGTTTGCAAATCTCTCACCGTTTTCGTTCCTTTCTCCCAGTCCATGTCGTCCCATGATGTCTTCATATCCAGTGTTGTCCATTCCAACCTTGGCATTCAGGTCTCCCATAAGAATCGTCAAATCCTTTGGTGAACATTTCTCGACGATTGACTGCAGCCTTTGGTATAATTGATCTTTAACGTCGTCATTGTAGTCATTGGTAGGTGCATAACATTGGATGACGTTCATTGTAATGTCCTCTTTCTTTGTTTTGAAGGATGCTTTAATGATCCTGGGTCCATGAGATTCCCATCCTATTAGTGCCTTTTGTGCATGTTTGGAAAGCATCAATGCAACTCCTTGTGTATGTGAAGCATGTTCCTCTTCATGACCAGAGTATAACAGCAGTTCCTCTGAAGCTAGTCTCAGTTGTCCTACTTGTGTCCAATGCGTTTCACTGATGCCGAGCACCTCGAGGTTGTATCTTATCATTTCTGCCGCAACTTGAAATAGTCTTCCAGTCTCCCACAATGTACGAACGTTCCATGTACCTAAAAAATGGTTGCTCTGGTTGTCAGAAGAGGCATCAGCCCCGTGACTTCCGAGGGGACTCGGCTTTCATCACGAGACGTCATAATTGTTCTTGCAACTCCCAGGGCAGAGTTAAAATGGTTTGAATTATTTTTTCTGGTTAGCGTTTTTTTGGCAAGTGAGATTTCAACGGAATGGGGTCGCCAACCCCATGTCCAACCCTCCTCCTTTACCCGGGCTTGGGACCGGCAGTAGCCCCGAAGGTTCTACTGGCGGAGTTGAGGTCGTGGGGAGAGTGAACTTAACTTGTCATTTGATGCTAAGGGGTACGTTTCACAATCTTTCAGATGATGATTTTAGGTTAATGCGTAACCGAGTGTTTTCGGCTGGAACATACCCAGTAACTCTGAGAAGAGAACATACTTACTGTACTCTTCACCTTGAAATCTATTTATCTCCATAATCGTTTGGTTGAAAACTACTCGATGCAGTTGTGATGATGTGACTAACGAATTACCTCAATAACGCCATTTTTTAACGATTAAATAAAACATCTACGTTGTGCTTTCTTAGGGTAAGTGAACGGAAAGCAGACGGCCTTGAGCAAACCACTCAGTTTGCATTTTGCGCGAGGTTTGAAATGTACGTTATTGTTATCTATGTAGAATTAGCTATTTGTAGGCCATTAGATGATTGAGATTACCATGCATTTTCGTTTGAAACCAAACAGTAAATTTAGGACGGTTCTTACGCTTCATTAAGAGACTTAGATGTTCTGTATCCTAATCTTATGTTAAAGTACATGTTATGATTCAATACATAGTCAAGAGCGTTTAGTGAGTCTAGAAAACATCATTACTTTCTGACTCTTTCTCTGAATAATAACTGCAAATCATTATTTCATAAATATTATTACAATTACTTACACAAGAGCTAATACAATTTCATGTATAAACCCTTATCCTGATTCGAAAAACCGAGCTTAAAATTTCAGCTGTACTTTTGATACCTAGCTCGAAAATTTTGACATCATACCTGGTCTCAGTTGATGACGAAAACTTATCTTACATGGAATAACTGTGACCCATAGAATTACTCCAACTTTTGATTGGTAAACCTAACCTTTTCCTTCTACGTCAGGAGTAATTCAACATGTGAAGTTTTGATTGTTCATATGAAAGATATTATTCAATCTATATTTTATAACTGTGGCTATTGATTTTTAATTACTAAGTAGATAAAACCTACCTATCTGTTAAGAATCCTCCCTAGGTATTGTCTCAATTTTTGTGTTACTTCTGCTTTAAAGATATCACCAATCTTTGTTAAGGTCTTAAAAAGCGATTATACTGATTATTGGAAGACTCATAACTGTTCCTCACTCCTATCTTCTGGTGTCTTGATAAAGTGGCTGATAAAAATACGGATTGTTTAATACATGTAGTACTAACCTGCAAAATCCTAATGCTTTAAGAAAGCAAACAGCATCTGCTGACATGGATAGCAACGCTACAAAAGTACGTTGTCAGAAACGTGGGTCAACGTAATAATGAAATGCTTCATCGGCGAAAAGAATAAAAATTCGCAAACCATACTCTATGTACAAGTAGTTTGTCTTCTACCATTTTTAGCAGTAAACTTCCTGAAAGCACCATGCAATCTTATAGAGATATTCAGCAGGTAGGCCTCTATTGATGCCTTCATCTCTTTTCTGTTAGTAGTTCAGACATTCCACTAAAGATAAGTGCAGTGGATCTTGCTTCCTTAAATATCGTTTTAATTGACGGTGTTGTGACTCTACTCTGTTAATGGCCGAATTTCTTAGCGTCAAGGCATGACCGTTATACGCAGGTGCCCATAGTTCCCTACAGTTTAACTAATTTCTAATTACATACCGTCGGATATTTTGTGCTATGCGTTAGATGACACTTAACTAATGATTAATGCTGTACAATCAGAATATATACTAGTTTACTGTGCAACAGTCAGTCACTCAGTTACAACGTAGAACTTCGTAAGTAGGTACATCAGTTCAGGTTGCCATACCTCATTAGCACAGAGACGCAACTATCAATTCAAATTCCACAGTAGTAGAGGTAGTAAGAGTATTAGCGGTAATCACAAAGTTTATTGAGCGAAGATATTCGAGAAGTATGATGTAGTGAAATAAACTTAAAAATAGAAGGATAAAGGTTATGAGGAATTCAGAAGGTTAGGATTCGAGAGAAGGCTAAGAGTGGATGCACCTGCGCCATTGCAAACCATTTCGAGCCAGTTTATTCAGTCCCCAACCATCAGTTACTATCATCTCACAGACCCCAACCATATAGTCAACACCTACAAACATGGTTCAATCTAGTTGTCAATGACATATTTTGTGCCATATTTTGGTTTGGCCGCCCCTAGCTTTCTTACAGCCCACCCTTACACCACAAAACATAGCTCGTCGAGGCAGTCGGTGGTTGAGCATGCGTAACACAAGTCCCGACCACCTCAACTGATGGAGTTTCACTACTTCATCCATTGATCTGCCATCCCTACCTAGTACTCGTTTCCTAACTATAGCATTGCTTACTCGGTGGTCCAAGGATATACGAGTAATGCTTCGGAGTCATCTTTAATCGAATAATAATAAACTACGAATGTCTTCTTACTGTGCAACATGTTCATTTTGCATCAGCTGACTTTGCAACTGTTCTGGCTCAAATCAGATTACACTTAACTTACGAAATGCATGGCTAACGTGGAAAGATCAGAGTACTACGTTGACTTCGGTTAACAGCCGTCTTCTCAGCTCGTGAACAATTCAGCACAAAACTCACATGACGTGAAGTATCTCCCATTATGTCATTAAAACTGTCTAAAATCCATACGACATCAGCGGTGATTGATTTTTTCGTCCACGCACATAGCTGGACGTCAGCGTCTACAATTATCCGTTAGAAAATCTGAAATAATTAGTATCCAGACTCATATTTAAGAACTTGCTTCCTTGTTTTTCCTTATTAGTGTTGTATGTGCGATCAATGCATACTACTTACGTGTACTTTTGATAAATTCAAACTTATTTTCGTGCTAAAAAATACTCTTTAAATTTTGGTCTTCTGAATAGATGTGCATTGTGCCAAATTTCCTTAACATACTACTAGTATGACGTTATAATTTGAGAACATAAAAGTTGAAACAGATCGAAAGGATATGGTATCAAAAATATACTTGTACTTAGTGAAATTATTGACTAGATACTGTCTTCTGAATTTTGAGGGACTATGCAATAGTTATGGATATACGTTCTCTTTTCAAAAGTCCCTAAATGTAGAACCATACCTGCATAGCACCTTGCGCCGTCCTATTTTATGTCTGCCAAACATGGTCAGTCAGAGTAGACGATATTCGTAGGTTACGCGTTCCTGACCATAGGTGTCTTAGAAGCATTGCTCGCTTATCTTGGGACTATCGATTAAGCAATGCTGTTGTTAGAAAATAGGTACTAGGTAAAGATAGGTCGATAGATGTAGTAGTGAAACTTGATCAGTTAAGGTGGTTGGCATGTGTGTTAGAAGTTCCCGGCCACCGACTACCTTAACGAGCTATGTTTTATGGTTTAGAAGTAGGTTGGAAGAAAGCCAGGGGCGGTCAAACCAAAAGATGAAAGAATTTCATGAAGTAACTGACAACAGGATTCTGTCATGTTGGTAAGTATAGACTACCTGGTTGGTGTCCGCGAGACGATAGTAAAAAATGTTTAGAGACCTTGAATGACATGGCTCAACATCGTTTGCAATGGCGCAAGTGTTTGTGTTCTTTCAAATCTTAACCTTCTGAATTCCTCATCACATTTTTAAGTTTATTTCACTAGATTTTACTTCTTGAGTAATGTCGTCGAACCCTAATCTCTCTCATTACTGCTAATAGTTCTTTTACCTCTACTACTATGGGATTTGAAGTGACATTTGCGTCCCTGTGCTAATGTGGCATGGCATCCTGAACTGTTGTTCGTACGTACGAAGTTCTACGTTGTAACTGAATAACTGGCTGACTACGAAGTAGGACTGCCACATCTTTGTATTCGATTGAACGTTATCAATGTTTATTTATCAGTCTAGGTCTTCATTTCTTGTATTCGTTTTACATAACATACTATTTTGGGGCGCAGTTTTGGAGGTTTGCGTTTTTACACATTTGAAATCATCAATCAATCATTAGTAGACCACCATTAGAAACCTGGAAGCACTGGACGGCCGTTTCTTCCTGGTATGGGACACATCAGCGCATCCACGACTCCTGCTCCTCACAGGATTCGAACCCGAGACCTTCGATATCGTAGGCGAACGCCTTACCATAGGACCACTGGGCCAGCATCCAACGGTGTGAGATTGATGATTTCAAGTGTGTAAAAACGCAAACCTCCAAAACTGTGCCCCAAAATATCGTCACAGTGCTCACTAGTGACTAGCTTCGTGAAGAAATTCTCGGAGTTCTAGTTGAGAAGACGTGACCAATCGAGTTCAGTCCTGTCGGGTGTAGGCAGTAACTACCAAAGACAAATGGGTGAGGTCGCGCAAAATCCCTTGATCAATCAGAGTTAGACATTAACACCGTTGGATGCCGGCCCAGTGGTCCGATGGTAAGGCGTTCGCCTACAATGCCAAAGGTCCCGGGTTCGAATCCTGCGAGGAGCAGGAGTCGTGGATGCGCACTGCTGAGGAGTCCCATACTAGGACGAAACGGCCGTCCAGTGCTTCCAGGTTTCTAATGGTGGTCTAATAATGATTGGTTGATGATTTCAAATGTGTAACATACTATTGTTTGTTATTGCCCAAATATGTTGATTATCATCACATTTTATTTAATTTTAGACTCAGTGACTCTTTGATCATTGACTTTCATCTCAACTAAATTTTTCACATCGGTGAATTTCAATTTCAAACATTTTGACATCTACAACAATCAACTCTCAACTATTACCTAAATATGAATCAAACAAGAGCTTTACATTTTGTTTTCAAAGTAGCCAATCGTAATGAAACCATTGATTTCTTTAAACGGATACTTGGAATGAAGGTATGTCAATCAGTATGTTTGTGTGTGTGTGTATGTGTGCACTTTGGATGAAAACAAGTGAATACCTGTGTGTTTCTGTTTATTTTGCAGTAATCCACAAGTTCACTTGACATGGCGTGTATGTGTGCACTTTGGATGAAAACAAGTGTATAGGTGTGTGTGCGTGTGTGTGTCTATATATGAGCAAACCAGTGACAATAGTGCAAACCATAGTGTTGTTGGTTGTTGTTGCTTTGTCTAATTGATATTTGGTTAGATAAAAATAGATGTTTCTGTTTTATTTCACAGTAATCCACAAGTTCACTTGACATGGCGTCTTTTTTTTTCTTCTTGTCAATACACACTCAAGATTTAGAAATTTTTTTATGGGTTGATATTGTGACCTAATAAAGCGTTGTATTGTAAAAATTGTACATTATAAATGTGACGTTATCATTTATGAAAATTTCACATTAAATGTACAAACAGGGTGATGTTTTATTTGATGAGTAGACTTATTTATTAACTGAAAGTCAGTCAGTCAGTCAACGTAGAACTACGTACGTCTGTGTACATAAGTTCATGTTGCCATACCATATTAGCACAGAGAAGCAGTTGTCAATTCAAATCCCATAGTGATAAAGATAGTGTAGAGGTATTATTGGTAATGAAGGAGATTAGGGTTTGAAGATATCAGTCAAGAAGTATAATTCAGTGAGATAAGATTAGAAAGACAAAGGTAGAGGTGCTGACGAATCCAGAAGATTAGGATTTGAGAGAGCTCAAAGAATGGATGCACTTGCGCCATTGCAAAAATTAGCTGAAAGTTTTGTTGAAAATACAACCTAGTGTTGATATGTTAGATGTAAGATATTAGTACAAATGATATTACTATCTGTGGTTGGGAACATGTATTACGAATAACCAACCACTGGCCGCTTCGGTAAGCGTTGGAGTAGGTTGGAAGAAATCTAGGGGCGGCCAGACCATAAAATGGCACAAATTCATGAAGTCGCTGACAGATGGACTGAGTCAGTCAGTCAGTCAGTCAGATGCAACGTAGAACTTTGTACATAAGTACATGGACTGAGTCATGTCGGCAGGTGTCGACCACCTTGTTGGAGTCCGCGAGATGGTAGTAATAGATGGTTAGAGTCCCTGAATGACATGGCTCAAAATCGTTCGCAATGGCGCCGCTGCATTTATTCTCTGTGTTCTCTCAAATCCTAATCTTCTGGATACTTCAACACCTCTAGTTTCGACTCTCTAAACTTTTCTCACTGAATCATATTTCTTGATTAATATCTTCTAACCCTAACCTCTCCGATTACTTCTAATTCCCTTACCACCTCTTCTACTATTATGTGATTTGAATTGACAATTACATCTCTGTGCTGATGTGGTATGGCAACATGAACTGATGTACTTACGTATGAAGTTCTACGTTGCATCTGACTGACTGATTGACCTTTCTCATTCTAAACTTTTCGAATCATATCTTCGCTCCCTAATCTTCTCCACTGCTGCTAATAATTCTACTATCACTATCACTTTTGGATTTGAACTGACAGCTGCGTCTCTATGCCGATGGTGCACGGCAACCTGAACTGATGTACTTACGTATGAAGTTCTGTGTTGTGCCTGTCTGTCTGTCTTCTGAATCCCTCATCATTTCTATCTTTGTCTTTTTAGAATTTTTTTCACTGAATTATACTTCTTGAATAATATCTTCGAACCATAATCTCTCTACCGCTAATACTTCTATTATATCTACCACTATAGATATTGAATTGACAATTACGCCTCTGTGGTAATGTGGTATGACAAGTTGAATTGATGTACGTACGTACGAATTTCTTCGTTGTAGCGGACCGACTGTTTGACTGACTTAATATTGCTATCCAGTCTGTACTGAACTTACTATTTTAATATATATGAGACAAACTTTAAATAAAAATACGAAGCTGCTTAGAAGGCACATAAATAAAATGATCAGTAATCTTAGTGTAGCATGGTTTAACGTTAGAAAAGCAATCAGTCACTTCATGAAATTCACTTGGAAATCTTACGCATTGTCTTCTTGTGGAAGAGACAGTTTTACAATAAGATGAAAAGAAAATGTTTGGTCAGTGCTTTAACCGGGTTGGTAGAAATAGCGGATCCACCTAGAAGGGTCGGAAAACCCTCATTCCACCTGCGCCGAAGGATCCTGACGGATTGAATGGCGTATAAACTGGCTACAATGGGATGCATCTCCTGACGTTGCACCATTGCTGTGTCGATCGGACCTGATAATCAGAGGCTTGGAGTATGGTCCCCTAAGGAAACTACCTGTTTCGGCTTAGTCACCTGGACAGTTTCTCAGGCCACTCACAAATTCAAGGATATTTGGGTGTACCTATGTACCAATGTCTGTGTTTTTAGATAAAATAAAAAAACTTTCTAGTGTAGTTCACTTGTACGTGAAATACATTTTCCAATAAAGTTTGTCATGTTCGAGTTAGTAGTATGATCAGTTTTGATGTACTTCAGACGATTGCAAAGGGAAAAATCTATCAGCAAACCTAATTTTATACAACGGCTATGGTTACTTTTATCATTTAGAAGAAACCATAAAGTTGAGTAAAAAGGAAGTGGAGTGTAGTATTTAAAGTAAAGATGATTAGTCAGTTTGTAAGACTGAGTTGCCTGGGATGAGTGCTGTATTTATTTGTCGGATAGCAACCGCTTGTACTAGAAAAGGGTTTAGTTTGAAACTTTATATTAAGAGCGCTTAAACTAAGATGATCTATCAGTCGATAAAGTAATCAATTAATCAACAGTAATGTAGAACTTCGCTACGTACGTACGTACGTACATTGGTTTACGTTGTCATACCACATTAGCACAGATATGTAATGGTCAATTTAAATCGCATAGTAGTAGTAGGGCTGGTAAAAGTGTTAGCTGTAATGGAGAAGATTAGGGTTCGAAGACATTATTCAAGAAGTATAATTCAGTTAGAATTTTAGAAAGAGAAAAGTAGAGGTGTTGACGAATCCAAAATGTTAGGATTTGAGAGAACACAAAGAATGGATGCACCTGCGACATTGCAAACGATTTTGAGCCATGTCATTCAAGGTCTCTAACCATCGATTATTATCATCTCACGGACCCCAACCAGGTATTCGACATCTACCAACATGACTCAGTCAACTTATCAGTGACTTTATTGATTTGTGGCATGTTTTGGTTTAGCCGCTCCTAGCTCTCTCTCAACCTATTCCTACTTCGAAAAACAGCTCGTCGAGGCAGTCGGTGGTTGGGCATACGTAAAACATGTCTCAACCACGCGATAAAACAAATGATTATTAAATTCTGCCGTGTTGTGATTGGCTAAAGCTGTTGTACTGTTGTATTTATTGTATAGCTTCCTCTAAACATTAGAGTTTGTTGACTTACCATACTTGTTTCAGTGAAGTTCCTGTATTCTTTGTTGGTGAATACAATGTCGATTAGAAGAAAACTAAAGTCCTTATCTAGTTACACTTAGTTTGATTTGAGTTAGTTAAAATAATGACCCTTATTCTCCCGACAAAATAGATATTAACCAGAGCTGGCTTGAAAAATTGGAGCCAAGTATTATAGTCTGGTAGAACACACATTGAGGAAAGCATCCAACTGTGTCACATGACAAACCCTCAATTAGAATCCTCAAGGACAAAGGAAAAAAAAGGTAAACCGAAGAACACACTTCACCGAGAAACGGAAACAGACATGAGAGCAATGAACAGCAGTTGGATAGAATTGGAAAAGAAGGACAGAGTAGGTTGGAGAATGCTTGTCAGTGGCCTATGCTCCTCGATTGAGGGTGCTAGGTAAGGATGGCAGATCAATCGATGAAGTATTGAAACTTCATCAGTTGAGGTGGTTGGTACATGTTTTACTTATGGCTAACCACTGACTGCCGCGACGAGCTATGTTTTGTGGCGTAGGAGTAGGTTGTAAGAAAGTTAGGGGAGTCCAGACCAAAACATGTCAGAAATGCATGAAGTGACTGACAAGTGGACTGAGTGATGTTGGAAGATGTAGGCTCTCTGATTGGGGTCTGTGAGACGAAAGTCACCAATGGTTAGAGACCTTGAACAACGATATGGCTCAGAATCGTTTGCAATGGCGCAAGTGCATCGACTCGTTGAGCTCTCTCAAATCCCAATCTTCTGGATTAGTCAGCACCTCTACGCCTTCGTCTTTCTAACCTTATCTCACTGAATTATACTTCTTGAACGATATCTTCAAACCCTAATCTTCTTCATTATCATTAATACCTCTACTATCTCTCTCATTATGGGATTGGATTTGACATTTGCGTCTCTGTGTGCTAATGTGGTATGGCTACATGAACTTATGTACACAGACGTACGAAGTTCTACGTTGCAACTGACTGACTGACTGAGAGGGTAACAGGCGTAATTAAGTAAGTAAGTAAATAATTTTAGCCTGTTTTTACAAAGAGTTACAACTGGGAAATTGGCGTTCCTTCAGTTTCATTCTACATCCTTGCTTAATTGACTATTCAATATTTTTCGTTTGTTTGTTTGCAGGTATTACGACATGAAGAATTTACTGAAGGTTGTAAAGCGTCATGTAATGGGTAATAATATATTGAAACTTTATGAATTAAATCTAATTCTCTCACTACTCTTAGACCATATGATGGAAAATGGAGTAAAACGATGATTGGTTATGGATCAGAAGAGAATCATTTCGTTATTGAATTAACTTATAATTATGGTATTGGTGCATATCAATGTGGTAATGATTTTCAAGTGAGTTCTTTTATTTTCATTCCATTTTTCTAACAATAATGATGATCATCATCTATAGTATATTTGTATTCATAATCCAAATGTTTATTCAACCATAATCAATGGTTCATGGCCAATTGTATTGAAAGAATCAAATTCAGTGAAAATTCAATCACCTGATGGTTATTCATTTTGGGTATACAATATTGATAGTGATGGTTTGGATCCTGTAAAAATGATTGCTTTATCTACTACAAATCTTCAACGATCCATAGGTAAGTAAGTGATTGGTGATTGGTGTGTGTTATTTCTAACTAAATCTATAGATTATTGGTCACATAAACTCAGCATGACACTTGTATCATCGGATTCAAATAATGAGGCAGTATTTTGTTATTCACCAAATCAATGTCATTTAAAATTCATCTCAATTCAACCAGAACGGATTGATCATGCTAGTGCATTTGGTCGTATTGCATTTGCATGTCCAAGTAGTCAAGTAAGAAAAATTTTTTTTTTCGGTTACATAATTCATATCTCATTAATAGTTGCCAATTTTACAACAATTAATGGATTCTCATCATGAAACAATTTTAACACCGTTAGTTAGTTTGGATACACCTGGAAAAGCAACTGTACAAGTGATTATATTGGCTGATCCTGTAAGTTTGTTACACTTGTTACTGTTTAATAATGGTAATAATCATATGTGGAGTTTTTTTTCTCGATGAACAACTCAGCATGGATTAGTTATGAAAATTATATAAATTATACATGAGATAAAGTTATGACAGAGTATATAGGCTGCTGAACAGCATTTTCTATAGCCTACTGTGTCCACCGTCTTCCTTCCTAGTTCTGTCCAACTGTTGTTCATTCTTCTTATGTTTGTCTCCGACTTCACACAATCTGGGGAAGTCTCATTAGTGCTGATGGCTTGGGGACGGACAAAATCTCAGCTGGGATAAAGAAGGCTCGATTGGCTTTTGCCAACTTGCGAGATATCCGCTTGTTAACCAAAGGACGAGTGTACTGCGCAGCAGTTCGCTCTGTCCTGCTATACGGATGCGAAACATGGCCGTTAAGAGTAGAGGATATTCGTAGGTTACTAGTCTTCGATCATAGGTGTATCCGAAGCATTGCTCGTGTATCCTGGGACGACTGAGTAAGCAGTGCTATCGTTAGGAAACGAGTTCTAGGTAAGAATGGCAAATTAATAGATGAAGTAGTGAAACTTCATCAGTTGAGGTCGTTGGGGCATGTGTTACGTATGGCTAACCACCGACTGCCGCGACGAGCTATGTTTTGCAGTGTTAGAGTAAGCTCAGAGAAAGCTAGAGGTGGCCAAACTAAAACACGGCAGAAATCCATGAAGTCACTTACAACTGAACTAAGTCATGTTCGTAGATGTAGGCTACCTGGTTGGGGTCTGCGAGACGAAAGTCATCAGTGGTTAGAGACCTTGAACGACATGACTCATAGTCGTTTGCAATGTCGCAGGTGCATTCACTCTTTGTGTGCTTTTTAATTCTAACCTGAATTCCTCATAATCTCTATCTTTCTCCTTACAAATTTATCTGACTGAATTATACTTTTTGAATCTTATCTTCACTCCCTAATCTTCTCCATTACTGCTAATAATTTTGCTATCGCTATCATACGGAACTCTTATGATGGATTCAACTGCAAAATCGTGCACGGAGGACAGCTAACCGACTCTTTCGAGGTGAAGACCGGTGTGAGGCAAGGTTGCTCACTCTCACCCTTTCTCTTTCTCCTGGTGATCGACTGGATTATGAAAACTTCAACATCTGGAGGGAAGCACGGTATCAACTGGACAGTTAGGACGCAGCTGGACGATCTGGACTTCGCAGATGACTTGGCTCTTCTATCGCACACTCAACAACAAATGCAAGAGAAGACGACCAGTGTAGCAGCAGCCTCTGCAGCAGTAGGTCTCAACATACATAAAGGAAAAAGCGAAATTCTCCGATGCAACACAACATGCACCAACCAAATCACGCTTGATGGAGATACCTTGGAGGACGTTAACACCTTCACATATCTGGGCAGCATCATCGACAACCAAGGTGGATCCGATGCAGATGTGAGGGCACGGATCGGAAAAGCAAGGGCTGCATTTCTACAGTTGAAAAATATCTGGAACTCCAAACAACTTTCGACCAAAACCAAAATAAGGATTTTCAATACAAATGTGAAGACAGTTCTACTGTATGGAGCGGAAACCTGGAGAACTACCAAAGCCATCATCCAGAGGATACAAGTGTTTATTAACAGCTGTCTACGCAAAATACTTCGGATCCGTTGGCCAGACACCATCAGCAACAACGAACTGTGGGAGAGAACAAACCAGATTCCAGTGGAGGAGGAAATGAGAAAGAAACGGTGGAAGTGGATAGAACACACACTACGAAAAGCACCTAACTGCGTCACGAGACAAGCCCTCACATGGAACCCTCAAGGCAAAAGGAAAAGAGGAAGGCCAAGGAACACACTACGCCGGGAAATAGAGAATGATATGAGAGGAATGAACAGACATTGGACAGAACTGGAGAGTGAAGCCCAGTTACAGAGTTGGTTGGAGAAAACTGGTGGGCGGCCTATGCTCCATTGGGGGTAACAGGCGTAAGTAAGTAAGTAAAAGTATCACTGTTGGATTTGAACTGTCAGTTTCGTCTGTGTGCTGACGTGGTATGGCAACCTGAACTGATGTACTTATGTATGAAGTTCCGCGTTGTATCTGTCTGTCTCCGATTGTCGGCGTAATGTGTTTTCTGGTCTTCGGTTTTTTCTTTTCTCGTTGAGGATTCCAGGTGAGGGCTTGTCTCGTGACACAGTTGAATGCTTTCCTCAACGTGTGTCCTATCCCACTTCCAGTGCTTCTTCTTGATTTCTTCGTCAGCTGGAATCTAGTTTGTTCTCTCCTAACAGTTACATTGTTTCTGGTAACACTTACTACGAAAGTGTGAGTTTATCAGCTCGAGTTTCGACCTAAACTCTCATGTACAATCTCTTTTTTGAAATCTTGAATCGACCAGTGTTAGATCACTAGCCGGTTTTTTCGTCTTACTATGGGACTTACCAGCAGTGAGCATCTACGACTCCTGAAACTCGCAGTATTCGAACCCAAGTCCTCCGGTCTTGCGCGCGAACGCCTAACTTTTGGACCACTGAGCTGGCCGTATCCAATGTTGTTAATGTCTAACTTCGATCAGTCCATAGTGTTGCTCAACCTCATCTAATGTCCTCGGTGATTACTGCTTCACATCCGAATTGGTTTAAACTCCACTTGTTACGACTTCTCTTTGGAACTCGGAGGAACGTCCTTATAGATCTAGTCACTAGTGAGCATATGATAGTTTTGCTGATAGGGTTGTGTAGATTCTGGAGTTACTTTTCGAAATCATGAATCGATCAATGTTAGACCATCACTAGAAACCTGGAAGACCGTTTCGTCTTAGTATGCAAATCGTCAGCAGTGCTCTTTGACCACTCTAGCGTTTTTCACAACACGAGGTCTAGTAGATAAAGATGAATATGAAAGTGACAAATTGATTCTTTCAAGGTGTTAAGTTTACTCCGATAAAAGCAAATAAAAACTGTTCTGATAGTTTATTACTACTAATATATGAGATCGTAAGAAAACAAGTTACAACGTCATCTGTAGATTTTGTTATGATCATGGACGTCATTGGAAACGTGGAAACTCTGGACGACCGTATCGTCCTACTATGGAACTACTGAGTAACAGTGCGCATTTACGACCTCGTAAGTAGGAACAGAAACCAGGAACTTCGCTTTTTATCATGCTCGAACTCTTAATCTCTTGATCACTGAGTTGAAATCCGATGGTGTCAATGTCATCTATGAGGCGGTGACCCACCAAAGACAATAATAGTTGATGGCCACTCAAAATCATGCTATTCTAGTTTGGCGTCGTACTGTAGAGACTATAGACACCTTGAACGACATGGCTCAGAATCGTTTGCAATGGTGCAGGTGCATCTACTCTTTGTGTTCTCTCAAATTCTAATCTCCAGAATTTCTCATCATCTCCATCTTTCTCTTTCTAAATTTATCTCACTGAATTATACTTCTTGAATAATGTCTTTTATCCCTAATATTCTTCATTACCGGTAATACTTCTACTATCTCCAACACTATGTGGTTTGAACTGACAGTTGCGTCTCTGTCCTAATGCAGTATGGCAACCAGTCAGTCAGTCAGATGCAACATAGAACTTCGTACGTAAGTACATCAGTTCATGTTGCCATACCACATCAGCACAGAGACGCAAATGTCAAATCAAATCCAATCGTAGTAGAGGTAGTAAAGGTATTAGAAGTAATCAAAGAGGTTAGGATTAGAAGATATTATTCAAGAAGTATAATTCAGTGAGATAAGTTTAGAAAGACAAAACTACAGGTGTTGAAGAATCCAGAAGATTAGCATTTGAGAGAACTCAAAGAATGGATGCACTTGCGCCATTGCAAACGATTCTGAGCCATGTCGTTCAAGGTCTCTAACCATTGGTGACTTTCGTCTCACGGACCCCAACCAGGTAGTCTACATCTACCAACATGACTCAATCCACTTATCAATGACTTCATGGATTTGTGCCATGTTTCGGTATGGCAACCTGAATTGATGTACGTACGTATGAAGTTCTACGTTGTAAATGACTGACAGGCTGACTGACTACGTCGTACTGTATCTTATTCATTGAAGCATTTCAATTGTTAAATGTTGCTATCCAAATAAGAAGCCCCTCTCATTGTATCTCGTTTTTACTTCTTCTTGTCATTTAGGATGGTCATGAAATTTGTTTTGTTGGTGATGAAGCTTTTCGACAATTATCACAAATGGATCCACAAGCAGATCATTTACTTCAATTAGCTATGGATGCAGATAAAAGTGATGCATGGTTCAATAAACATGGTGGCAAAACAACGAAATAGGAAAAAAAGTGGACAACAAAACAGATTGTTTTCAATTCATTTCATTTTGTGTTGTGATTTTTTTCTCTCCTCTGATATATGTGATTGGTTTTTTCTCACTGTTTTCTTTTAAATAATATGTATGATCTAATCTCTGATACAATGACATTCTTGTCGATTTGTTCATTAGTTAATAATTGGATGGTAAAAATTAAAGTTTACGCATATAGGAGAGTCAGCCCCGCAAGACGAAACTCACCAATGGTTAGAGACCTTGAACGACATGGCTCAAATACATTTGCAATGGCGCAAGTGCATCCATTCTCTGAGCTATCTCAAATCCTAATCTTCTAGAATCGTCAGCACCTCTACCTTTGTCTTTCTAAATTGATTTTACTCAATTATACTTCTTGAATAATATCTTCAAGCCCCCCTAGTCTTCTTCATTACCATTAATACCTTACACTATCTCTATCATTATGGGATTTGATTTGACATTTGCGTCTCTGTGCTGCTAATGTGGTTTGACAACCTGAACTGATGTACTTATGTACGAAGTTCTACGTTGCAACTGATTGACTGACTGAGTCAGCCAGTCAGTTACATTGTAGGATTTCGTTTGTACGTACGTACGTACGTCAGTTCACGTTGCCGTATCATAATTAGCACACAGTGAGATCGAATTGTCAATTCAAATCCCATAAGTAGTAGATGTAATAGAAGTATTTAGTAGTAATCGGAGAGATTAGGGTTTGACGATATTATTCAAGAAGTAGAATTTAGTGTGACAGATAAAGATGATGAAGAATCCAGAGGATTAGGATTCGGAAGAAGCCAAAGAATGAATGCACCTGTGCGATTGCCAACGGTTTTGAGTCATATCATTCAAGGTCTCTAATGCACATATAAGATGTATTGAAGTTTAGCTCATAGGTTTTGGTTGCTCAGTTCTAAAGAAGTTGAAATGTACATGGAATTTGTGAAATCAAATTCTATTTTGTTATGATATGCTGGTCCCGAGGTCTGCACGTGATACACGAAACTAAAAGCAGCAACTCTCGGTCTGAGGGCGAAGTTTTACTGCCGACTGAAAAGAGGTGTGACAGCAGCAAGCTCTTTCCTTCGTACAACTAACATTTACAGTGATACTGCCTTTTCATAAGGAAGGAAGGGGTTAGAAAAGAATTGACCTTCAAAATGTCACACTTCATCTCAGCCCACAGATTTACGTCTCCGGTGGTAAGGCCTTTTGAAAAGCACACAAGAGGTATTTAGGTTTAGTCTGTAGATGTGTTTGCTCAGTTCTAAAAAAAGTTACAATGTATATGGAATTCGTGAGATCCAATTCTATATTGTTATGATATGGGGGTCCCAATATCTGGACGCGGTACGTGTTGGTCTCCACTCAAGCTGACTACTTAAACGAGAAAATAAAATCAGAAGAGAAAATCTATTTGGCTACCGAATGAAAATACTCATCCATGTATATATATTAAACCTCTTTTTAAAAGGAAGCCATTTCTGCACTAATACGTATTCCATTGCGATCAAGAATCAATCATTGTTAGACCGCCATTAGAAACCTGGAAGCACTAGAGAGCCGTTTCATTCTAGTGTGAGACTCCTCAGCAGTGCGCATCTACTAATCCTGCTCGCGGGATTCCTGATTTCAATGAAAAACAATAATCCTAACCTACAATGTGCCCACAAGTTGCAAACTTAGTGAAGAGATTATCGGAGTTTTCGTGGGAAGACGTGACCAGTAGAGTTGAACGCTGTCCGATGTAGCTAGTAACTACCAAAGACAGTGGGTGAGGTCGCGCAAAACCTTAGATTGCTCGAATTTACACATTAACACCGTTGGGTACTGCTGATTCAGTGGTCTAGAGGGTAATCGTTAGCGTGTGAAACCGAAGGTCCCGGGCTCGATTTCAGCGAACGGGGTTCGTGGATGTGCTTTGCTCAAGAGTCCCATATTAAGAGGAAACGGTTGCCTAGTGCTTCCAGGTTTCTAATGGTGGTCTGGCAATGAATTCCTCACCGTCGCTATCTTTCTCTACCTAAATTTATCTCAGTGAATTATACTTCTCGAATCATATCTTCTAACCCTAATCTTCTTCATTACCAGTAATACTTCTACTATCGCTACCATTATTGTATTTGAGCTGACAGTTGCGTCTCTGTGCTAATGCGGTACGGCAAGCTGAACTGATGTACTTACGTACGAAGTTCTGCGTTATATCTACCAGTCTCTGTCTGATTCTTGATTTCAATGAAACTCAATAATCTACATAATTCTTTAATGTATATTGTATACATTCGTACTTTACGACCTATGCTGATGGTCATCAGATGGCCTTCTCATTAAGTCGCTTCTGATTGTCTCTCCACACCAAATATTTGTCATTAGTAAGCAAATCGTGGCATATATATATATATATATATATATATATATATATATATATATATATATATATGCATTTGTATCTGTTGCGCGCTTTGCAATCCAAGCTGATTGTAGACTGTCTTTTGCTCTTCAAAATACTCTAATCACGCCAGGTACCTTGATCTCCTAACAGCTTTCTCTCTGTGCTAGCAACTTCACTCGACTCTCTACTGCCATTTTGGTGAAAGATAGTTGAAAAAACATTATCAAAGAAGCAAAGCAAAGCTCTCACTCATCTATTTTAATTTTAAACTTTCTTCTACCAAATATCTATGAAGTAATTTGAAATAATACACAACTTTATTTTACTGAAATGTGTAAAAAAGTAGTTTTTTGTGTTTAATTTACTGAAACATTCCGTTTTTATCTTACACCATCTCTAACTACGCCATATTTTTAATAACAATAACCCGATGAACTTTCGTACTGACTACAAATTTTTTTGTTTACCATAATCTTCCGAGAAGATTGAAATTCTTATTTCTACTGTTTTTCAATTCAATGAATCAAGTAGTTAAATTCCATAAATCTCTCTTTTATAATTAATGTATTTAGTATATGTTGAGTTAGTTCACCCGAAAGCTCATGAAGAGTAGACTAGAGAAAACCAGTCTGGTTTTCGACCTGGACGTGGTTGTATAGACCACATCTTCACACTACGACAGGTCCTGGAACACAGACACACATTTAGACGTCCGACAATAGTTTTCTTTCTGGACCTTAAGGCATTCGACTTAGTGGATCGTGAGGTTCTGTGGCAGTGTCTGTCATTGAAAGGTGTATCAAAGAAGTACATTAACCTTATAGAAGCTCTCTACTCGAACACCACTGGTCGAGTGAGAGCTTATGGCGAACTGTCACCGGAATTCTTCACTTCAAGTGGTGTCCGTCAGGGATGTCCACTCTCTCCATTCTTGTTTAGTTTTATCATAGACATACTCCTAGAAATAACCTTATCCTCGTCTGAATTTTCAAGGGTAGACATTTTACCAGGAGACTCGCTTATTGACTTAGAATATGCCGATGACATAGTTCTACTTGATGAAGACGCTGACAAAATGCAGAGTCTTCTGACTACCCTAAGCAACAATGCAAGCATGTTCGGGATGCGGTTCTCACCCTCGAAATGCAAAATGTTGCTTCAAGATTGAGTTTCATCGGTACCTGAACTAGTGATAGGGAGTGAAGTAGTTGAGCGTGTAGACCGCTTCACTTATCTTGGGAGTCTCATCAGTGCCGATGGCCTGGTGACTGACGAAATCTCAGCACGGATACAGAAGGCTCGATTGGCTTTTGCCAACCTGCATCACTTATGGCGTAGGCGAGATATCCGTTTGCTGACTAAAGGACGAGTGTACTGTGCAGTAGTTCGCTCCGTCTTACTTTATGGCTGTGAAACATGGCCAATGAGAGTAGAAGATACTCGTCGGTTATTGGTTTTCGATCATAGGTGTCTTCGAAGCATTGCTCGTATATCGTGGGACACCCGAGTGAACAACGCTGTTTTTAGGAAACGGGTGCTAGGTAAGAATGGCAATTCAATAGACGCAGTAGTGAAAGTTCATCAGTTAAGGTGGTTGGGACATGTGTTGCGTATGCCTAACCACCGACTGCCTCGAAGAGCGGCGGCCAAACCAAAACATGGCAGAAATCCATGAAGTCATTGACGAGTGGACTTAGACATGTTGGTAATTGTCGACTACCTGGTTGTGGTCCGCGAGATAGTAATAATCGATGGTTGGAGACCTTGAATGACATGGCTCAAAATCGTTTGCAATGGCGCCGGTGCATGTATTCTTTGTGTTCTCTCAAATCCTAATCTTCTTGATTCTTCAACACCTGTAGTTTTGTCTTTCTAAACTTATCTCACTGAATCATACTTCTTGAATAATATCTTATAATCCTAACCTTTCTGACTACTGCTAATGATACCTTTACTACCTCTACTACTATTATGGGATTTGAATTGACAATTACATCTCTGTGCTGATGTGGTATGGCAACATGAACTGATGTACTTACTTACGAAGTTCTACGTTGCATCTGACTGACTGACTGAGTTAGTTCACCCACACTTTCCAGTTTTGGATAGTTTAGAGTAGGATATACCTTTGAGTGATTTTATCACATGATTTCTGAGATGGAACGATTCATGCCTAATGGGTAGTGTTGAATAGATGCTGGCTTAGTTGTCTAGACATTTCGGTGGTTGCATTGAATTCCAAGTTAGGCTCACCAATTTAGTGGCTACCGGATCTGACTCCGATTTATATGAATGATTACATATGCAATGATAGAAATCTTCCCTTGGATTTCCGTTTATCGCGTTTAGGCGAACATGAGAATAAAAAAGCGTTAAGGCAAAGAGAAGCGAATTGGAGAAGTAGAGCGAGCCAACTTCGATGTGTTGAGGATGACTAAGTATTTTTATGGTCAGACAACAACAGGCTGCACATGTAATAATCGAAGCAGGCAATGCACACACACACACACACAACCAAGGCTATGAGCGAATGATAGACAAGGTCGAAAGATGTTTGGATATAACTGGTACAGAATGGATTAATTAGTTTGT